AAAGAATTTTCTAGCAGTCCATATGTGATGGATTGCTTCTGTCAAATGAAAGGCTAGTTATAATTTAGCACATAAATTGTACAATCTTTTACATAAAAAAACTCTTAATACAGAGCTGGAGAGCAAAGGTAGGAAGTTGAACATGTGGCCCAATGACTGATGATTGACTTAACTGTCACTGTACTAGATTTTAGATATTTTGCTGTGTCTTAAGGATTTTTACTGATAGTTCACAGTTTAAATATCTAACGATATGTAATATAACTGCATCAATTTGTTGTGCATAGATTGTGCCTTAACATGGAATCTTAGACAAATCTATTGCATCTTTAAATGACAGAGTGAGAGTTAAGATCTCTTCCATTGCTGAAATACAAAAAATTAAGTCAAAGGGCACTTTTTATATCAGGAATTTATCAGGTAACAGTCATAGTGAATAAAATGAGGTTGCATTTTCTTTAAGGCGGTTCAATGCCATGTGGTAAGTGTGTAGAACATGCAGAAAAGCTTGTAATTGTGTCTACTGCTATAACTGTGGTTGCAACTGTCAAACTACAGATTCATCATTTTAAAAAATAATTTCAGATTGTTTGCTAATGTGTGACCTCATTGTCTGGCACACCTAGTCAAATACAGATATTTCCCTTTAATATTAAAAAATCCCTTGTCTTCAAATGATTGACTCTTCTGTAAAAGTCGTATCTCTATTTGAATAAAGAAATTTATTAAGCTGTACAACTCATGCTTTCCATTTACTATTCAATCCCAGTTAAGGTCAACATTACTTTATCCCTACAAAATCAAATTCATTGTTCTACTGAAAGAATTTGACCAACACTACTGATGTGTTTCTAGCTTCTTTGAGATTTTCCTAGGTGGGTTCCAAAACAATATTAAAAAAAGTCTTAAGCTATAAACTCTTCTATTGCAAAGACTGCCTTTAAAATGAGGTATGTGTCCATGTTCTTGAATTTCTTCATTGGGTAAAATTATTTAAATCCAGAATTACAACAATTTAAGATGACACCAATGCAAGAAACTCCATTCTTTTCATGGAAAACGAAACTAAAGTCCTGAGTCTAGGTACCTTTCAGAATGGGCATTAGGGTTTTTTTAGAACTTGAAACTTACACATTTATGTGGAAAGGCAATTAAATCCATGGTTACCTTTGCTCTAGATAAAATTCCTAAAAACACAGTGCAGAGCATAGATTTAGAAAAGCAGTTGTGAAGACCAATATGCATTTGCACAACATATGAAGACATGAAGTACACTTTCAGATTTAGTGAACATTTCACAAGCCACAGTTATATCTTGTGCTTTATAATGCTGTAGCAGTAACATCTGTGTCAGGAAAAGAACACTGATAAAATAGTAAACCAGATCTAGGAAGAAATGAAGCTGAAAAGGAAGCTGTGGAATGTTATAAAAACAAGTAAATTAATGTATTGGAGAAATTAAGAAATAATCATGAAAGCTGTATTTTAGAACATGATTATTTCAAAGAGGCTTTGTTCCCTAACAGACAGTAAACTTTATTTTTGTTGATTATACATGCAACACTACTGTCATCAGAATGGGGTTTGTGTTTCAAAGTTCCACTCTGTGGGTAAGCTTTTCAGTGGTTTCCTGGGAAGTCTCTAGCATCCATTGTAAAAGGATCTGTCAACAATGCTGGTTTAATCACCTTTCTGTTTAAATCTAGTGTCCAATTTTGTAGTTAAGCAATGAAAGAAGACCCTATGAAGACAGCTTTTTAGCCCTACATATACGTAAAACCAGAGCACTATCATCTGAGGGTATGATTATTTGAACCAGTGTAAACTGTTGGTGGTGGGAAAAGGGGAAAATATATACAAAGAACCTGAAAATTTATCTGACTCATCAGTTTGGAGCTATTGCTAGTCAAAACCAGCCAAATGTGGGCATTGATGTGGGTAGGGCCACTGTGTGCTCTTAACTGTTCATGTCCCCCCTTTTCTGCACCATGTCCTACAGTTCTCTACCCAGTCATGACGTTTCTCAGTGCTGTGGGAATTACTGCTTAAGTAAGGACAGGAGCACTGGCCCAATCACACATTCATCAACTAAATTAAGATCTCCATTACATAATTGGAGGAAAACTGATTTCAGTGTGGTGAAAGTATCCAGGATAAATCAAAGCTCTGAGGAAGGTTTTGAATATTAAGATAATTTCTACAGATGCCATGCCAGGGAAAAGCTCAAAGCAATTTTATGTTAAAAAATACTGGTAAACCCCTCCAAACTTCCTCTTTTCTCAGAAATTATATTTAATGTCTTCAAATTTTAAATACAACACCTTTGTTGCCTTTACAGCAAAAGTAAATGAAAACCGCATTACCATCTGAAAATATTAAAGTGGAGGCTTGTGTGATGTGAAAAACAAACTTACGTGATGTGGCAACAGTTTTTCCTTTAGGATGTGAGCTACGTGCTCAGAGCATGTGGATCAACAAAGATGGTGACCTGCATGTTCTTCCTAAATGGCACTTTAAGGCAAAAATCACAGGTTGTTCATTTTAGCAGCATGTTAAGCATCTGATTAATCAGTTGTTAAGTTTTCTAGCTTATCTACAGTTACGAACCTCCCCTACACGCTTAGGTACATTAAAACAAATTTTTCATTTATAGCTGTGCTACTTCTTGCCAAATCAGGGTAAGATATGAAAGATATGAAAAACACTGAATAACAGGTCAGTGCTAGTGATAAACTGTGACGAAATGGCTGAAAGGCCTCACCAAGTCACCCTTAGTATCACTTCAGTGTCCCATGCCAGAGCTGCTGCTGCTTCTCCTGGCCTACAGTGACTTGTTCCCTGGGCAAAGGTCTGCTTCTTCATGAGACAGGAACAAAAATGTTTCAGGCATGAGCAGGTGTGAAGATGATGTCTGCACAGTTTCGCTAAGTAAAGTGAGATTTCTTGTTGCCCAAAAAATCCTTTAATTCACCCAAAGAGGCTTTCAGCACTAAGACCTAATTTGTACAAATAAAAAACGAAGCCAAGTATTGCCGAAAGCAACCGCTGAGCCTGGATAGTTACATTTTGTACGCCTCCTTCTGGAGGGAGGCCCCAGACTGACGGCCCTCAGGCCGCCCTCCCGCAGTGCGCAGGCAGCCCGCGCTGCGCGGGGCAGGGGCAGGTGCGGGGCAGGGTAAACGCCGGAACATCCTGTGATCCGTATGTTTCCTGAAACGCCAGTCAGGTACCGTCTGTACGTCCCTTTCAGTGCTTTTTCAGCAAGCCTGCGGGATTTCACAGCTGGACTTCTTTGGAGAATTAGGATACTACAGTGCATTTTTTATTTTTTTTAAATTTTCTTTTTTTTCCTGAAAATTACTTAAGGTGCTTTTTTTGCCAATACAATAATTATCTAGTAAGAGATCCTTCAGCCAGTAAAGAAGGCTTGATCTATAGTTGGGTGTGCTCCAGTAGTGTTAACAGTGCTCTGCCATCGTTCAGTGTTTGCTTCAGATCATGTTACTTAATATTTTAATACATTACTTAACGTTTGTTTCATACTAGGAATTCAGTCCAGCAGAGCCCCAGTCAAGACTGAAAACAAGCCTCCTTCATTTCTTGCTCAACAAGGGATCATTTTTTGGAAAGAATTTTACCAAACACTCATGTTAGGCATGCCATTACTCTGTGGTTTTGGTATGTGGCATTAGTGTGGTCTGATCTGCCAGAGACCTGTTCCAGTACATAGTCCTGCCAGGGTAACAATGTCCATTCCTTATTTTGTTTGTCCTGTCACGTAGTAACAGAAGTGATGCCCCATCCAACCTGGCTCAGCTTGCCAAAGTGACTCTATTTTAATCTAATTATCCAGTAGCAAAAGATCAAAGACTGAGAGCCGCATATTGCCCAAGATTAAAGTCGTAATATTACTAGTTCTGGACTATAAACTACTTCTATAAACTCATTCTGGATTACTCTTCTGGCTAATTTACACCATTCTATAGAATTAAAAGCAAAGTAGTGCTGAATACCTGTAAACTCATCTTAAGATGGTCTTGTTTGCTCTTTTGATGACAGAAAGGATTAGTGGGTTTAGACTATTGCAAATGCCACGGGAGCATGAAACACCTGTTTGTGATGAGGTGGCTTGGGCTCTGATGTGACTCAGCAAAACTTCTAGTATGATCTGGTTTTGTTTCAAACAGGTGTTTTGCAGAATAGCCATGCTTGCTGAAAAGTAATCTTACTGTATAGAATATTTGAGCTTTTTAAAATGACACTTTCCAAAGTCAAAAGCACTGCGCACACCTGAAGGTGGGAGTCTAAATGATCTCATTCTACATAAGAAAATTTCAACAGTGCCATGGTTGGTTTGGCACTTCTTTGTTGTTTAAAGTAATACACAGTAATGGTATTTTCATAAACCCACAAATTACTTGGTTCTGGATGAAAACCAAAACCACACAACTTGCTTCACTACAGAGTATGTACATTATGTGCTCCTAAGCAATTTGGTTTAGTTCCTTTTCAGAGTATACCTGTCCTGATACAAATAAAAATTATATATTTCTGGAATCTTCGATCCGCCTTGAGGTTGAAGATTCCAAATCCATATCTCCATTATATGCCTTCAGAAATCTCACTGATACTATACAATGATATAAGCCTTGCTCTGAAGCAAATAATTATTGAACATGCCTATGATGCAGCACTGTTACGAAAACATAAGGGAAGAGCCCAGATAATTCCGTTTTACAAGAGTAGATCAAAAGTATCTCAGAAGTAACACTTTTGAAGACTACTATTCTGGAATTTTAAGTTAATAATTGTATCAATAAACAAGAGAATCTAGGAACTGTGTATGACTGGAAAAAAAAAATCACATTATGTTCACAGCAGCATAATTCCAATTCATAGCACAGGCAGTGAGAAAGAATAAAGGAAGTTTCTCACTGTCATTAATCAATTGTCTATATAAAGGAAAATTAGAAAAATTGACATATACTTGTTTTATTCTTATCAAGGTATATAGTGTACCTATCGCCAAGTACTTTTAGGTACACAAGCAATAGAAATTTAAAGACACATAAAATAATTACTTCAAATGGACAAACTTAACAAATAATAATGAAGAACCTCTCTGTGTGTCAAACAGAATTTAAGAGTATAAATACAATTACAATTAACAGCACTAAAGCTATTCAGTAAGTGTTACACTAAAGCTACACAATCATTTCCCAGAATATCAGCACACTTATTCAATTCAGCCATATTAGGACCTTGGTACCAGTTGCTGAATGGCTCCCAATTATTACTCTATACCAACACCAGGTGTCAAAGATTTATTTTTTTTAAGTAATATGCAAAAGGCTTTTTTTTTTTTTTCCGCCCAGCAGTTCTTTAAATAAAACGTACAATAAACAGAAGGAGAAGTACTTGTTAGTCAAGTTTCTAAAGGTTAATTACTAAGTTATCTATACTGTAAGAAATTCTTCAGTATTGTTGGCAGCTGGAGTTGTGGGACAAGATGCAGTCTAGCTCTTCCTATGTAATTTCGGATACATAGTCGGCAGAGCTGACAAAGAGAAGGTGGCGTGGCTGCAAACAAAAAAGAATGGAGTTTTAATTGTACAACTTAAGCCAGTATTTTGTTTTACAAAAGTCTTGTACAATAACAGGATTCCTAAAAAGTTCACATTTTGCAAATTTGTCCTTTTCCTTCCTTCCTTTTCCTTCATTGCCTTTTTGCCCTCAAAGATAGAGACTGGGGCTGCTGAAACCTTATTAATAATCAGAGAAATACTCAAAAAAACAAGGTGAGGTCAGCAAGGAATTTCTGTTTTTAAATGCAAAACCTGCTCCCATAAATTACCTGATGTCAACAGCTTCAAAAACTGTTGTTTTGGTGTTTTTTGTATTCATAGGACAGATGAAATATGTACTGAGGCACTACAAGCTGCACTTCCAATGCCTCACTGCAACAAGAATGAGCAAGCAAAATACCTGCAGATCCTGGACCATATGTAGTGGTCTTAGTTTTCCCCCCAAGCCCTGCCCCCCCCAGTCCCTCAAAATGAACAGATTGCTTATCTGTGTTTCTCTGGGAAATAAAACTATATATGTTTCATTCAAACCAATTTTATTATTTTTTTTACATCTTTGCTGTGGCTTTCAGAAATCCTGCTAGCCTTGGTAATTTTGTGATAACCAACTGTTTTTAGAGGGGTTTTTAAACAGCATTCAGACTACAGAGATGTTTTCTGGAGGAAAACATTAATCAACGCAACTTGTCAGTTCAACTTTAAAGAGATGTACTTGGGTTATTGCAATACTTTTCTTCTTATTTCCTACCTTGTCTTGTGATTTCTTTTTACACTGTACATAGGTCAGTCTGAACAAATCCTGTTCCTTTTGGGATATTCTCTCTCTTTCTAAGGCAACAGACCTTTAAGAATTTTAAGGAACTCCTAAGCGTTGCATCCTACTTCTCAGGAGCTTACAGTTCAGTAAAGAAAATTTAAAACATGAAACTTAATATACTTTTTTGCCTACAATCAAAATAAATTGCTTTATATGCTTTTTTTTTTCTTTAATACTGGGACATCTGGTCAAAACTAAATATATTTTTAATCTGACATTGAAATATTCTGTTTCTTTTTAATAAGGTCTGTAACAGCCAATAAAATGTAGTTTTAATGTCTAATTCCAATGAACATAAGATAATACTTTTTCAACTTGTATAAATTCAGATGCTGCTTGGTCAACAGGTTCTGGCCTGAGACTAAGTATTACTGGGTGTTTTTATACTTAGAAAGGAGTTTACTTGAATGTTAACATCTTCATTTCATAAAGCACAATTTTAGTTTCTATAACATGGATTGTTTGGGTTGATGGGAGTTTCTTTTTGAGGGGCTCTGTTGTTTTTGTTTTTTTTAAGAATACAAGTTATGGTTGAAAAAACACACATATAAAACTTACCTTCATGAAGGAGCAGCATTCTCTCCACTAAACTACTTGGAGCAGCTAGATCAACAGGCCTCTGAAAATCTGTATTTTTGGCATTTATGTCTGCCCCAAATTCAAGGAGTAAGTTTACAATCTCTGTACTAGAATGCTGGGCAGCAGCATGGAGTGGAGTTTCCAAATGCTTTCCTTTCTGCACATTGGCACCTGGCAGGTAGATGCACAGAGATAGAAGAAGAAATTAATTAAAACTGTAATTGAGTAAAGATTATATTACTAAACAAACAAACAAACCAACAACACTGTCCTAGAATATGACAGTGAATTTAGCCACTTCACTGATTTTATTGTGTAGCACTACACCTATTCATATTAGTGTTTTGGGTTTTTTTTAATCCATACACTTATCCTAGTTTTTATTACATAAGCACAACTAAACTCTAAAGGAAAATAATTATAAAACGAAAGAAAGGTCAAATTAGGTCATGTAAGCATCGTTGTACCAAAGAATGCAGAATATGCCCTTCTGTTACTGTTTTTAATGTATGGTTGTATTGGAATCTTAAAATATGCTAATTGTTCTTCTGCAGTTCTTAAACATAAAACTCATGACATAGGACAGTTAATCATACAAGGAGACTGACTTAATGAGAAACTATTTAACTGCTTCCCTTCAGTTCTAAATAACCTGCAAGTTACTAGAAAAACAATTCCAGTGCAATGATGGCAAGTCTGTAATTAGTCATTTCCATTCATTGTGCTGCAGGACACACAAGCCCTGTATGTCACTACCTGAAATACAGCAAATGATCCTTTAGCTATGTTGATTGTGTCCCTGGACTTGTGCTGAAACACAGTGGGCCTCCAGTATCTCTTTCCCATTGATTAAATAAAGTGAAAATTAGGATCAAACGCCTTTTACCTTACTTCTCCCTGCAACTCAGCCTCTATGCTTTCTAAAATGATTGATCACAGCATGCTGAAGAATGAAAAAGGATGGCATGGCATTGCTAAAAAAGTTCAGTTGAAAGCTGAATGATTACTATAGAAAACTACTTCCTCAAAGCTGATTTTTAACCTTTTTCCCCTACAGAAAATGAGTATCTACCAAGCTGTAGTAGGTGCTAAAAATTTCCATTATTGGTCTTGCTTCCTTTTTCCCTCATATGCTTGCTATGCCACAAAAAAAAGAAAGATGAAGTAAGTTATTACAAGAAAACATGAATGAATTTAGAAGTAGAGCCCTGCAAGCAAGAGTTCTAGTTTCACTGATTGAGCACATCTCACTTCAAAGGTGAGTAGAGGATGCTTATTTTACAAGTTAAATCATGACATACCTGCATAAAGAAGCTTTCGAATACAATGAATCTGCTGTGAAACACACGCTACATAGAGAGGTGTTCCTAAATGAGGAAGATCTTGATCAACATCTATACCCCAGGATATCAGTACCTCCAGACATTCACTGTGACCTGTCAGTACAAAGAATGACAGAGTTTGCTTGACTTCAGTAAATGTCTAATAGGCAAAACTAGACACATTTCTTAACAGTCTTATTGTCATCTTATTCTTAACATTCTTACGCAGTCATCAACTGCTCCAAGTTTTCTCAGCAGGTAATTTCTTACCTCTGCTGGCTGCTTCATGAGTTGGTGATGGAAGACAGGATTCCCACTGAGCTTTGGCACCATACTCTAACAGGAGCTCTGCACATGCTGCACTGCCTCTTGAACATGCATTAAATAACGGTGTCACTCCATCAATTGTTGTAGCATTTACCTAGAACATATAAGATCTATTTAAGAAAAGAACCAAAAGAAATACAATTTTTTTAACAGGATATGGTAAGAAACTGCATTGCAAAACCAAAAAATTTACTGGTTTTAATAATACAGCTTAACTAATCAGTCCCTGTGTTACTCTCATCACACTCCTCAGTTGAAATTAGTTTACTATTATTCTTGTTAAGCTATGTTGAATAAACCAAAATACACCTGTAATACTAAAGAGCACACATTAACATCTGGGCAGCAAATAATTTTCAAAAGTCATTGCGTTTAGCTTGTGTAATTGCTACAGAAAATCTGTGTAGTAATGGGATAATGGGGACCTTCTCTCTGCAGCGCTGTCACGAATGCAAACTCCATATTAAATGTGAGGATTATGTGCCATTTTCTTTTGTGATTTTAATCTCCAGGTTGGAGTGATATTTCTCATGATGGAGACAAAGCTAATATTCCCAGTGTGATAGAATGAAGTAAGAAACTAGGAAATTTGTAAGGCCTAATAATACTAAACCAAGCAGCACAGGTATCACAAAAGGGACTCCTTCCAGGACTCTGGCCTACCCTCTTCCATGCTTGCCCTCAAGCCCATCAAAACAAGTAAAAGTACTAAAAAAATTCAGATAGGAAAATGAAATTTGTTTTTATAGTTTTGTCTATATTATCTACAGTTTTGTATCTTTAGAATGCTTGTGCTAACGGATGTGGAAATAAATTGTTTTTGGAAATATCTATGTATTTTTTTCTTTGTCTGCAATAACATAGACATATTCTACATGGTTCTCAAAACTGAATTGTGAGAACAATAAATATTTCCATCACAAAGATTAGAGATTTGAGAAACCATACATTTAAACCTTATGTCAGCAGAAATCATAGTGAAAGTGGTCTGTAAAGTCCCATTTTTGTTTTGGGATAACAGATAACTCCAACCTGTGTCAGGAGAAAAAAAAGAGAGCCAGTGCTTAGTTGTACTCAGACCGAAGAATCTGAAGAGCACACAGGTACAGTGTGACAAGAAGACATTCTGGAGGTATAAAGAACAGTCTCCTGCAAGCCACTCAAAGCAAGAGGAAACCCGTAAAGGAGAAGGACACCTTCCATATTTTAGAACAGAAATAATGTAATAAAATTCAGAGAGGAAATAAGGTTGGTGACATACTGCTAGCATATTCTCTCCAATTCATTAATCTGTCTCAGTGTCTGCCCAGCTCCCATATATCTTACTTCCCTGTTAGTGTTCTTCTGTTTGATATCTATTCATACACATATCATTATGTGGTTTGGTTGGTTGTTGTTGTGGGTTTTCTTCTTGTAACCTAACATGTCTCTAATGATGTTTCTTTGACTCACCTCTTTCCTTTGCTAGCTTTCAGATGGTAGCTTATGGTAATTAAAATGAGATCAACACAATCGATAACATGAGTAGAGAGAAATATTGAAAAAAGGAAACACTCTTACATTTGCTCCTGCTTCAAGAAGGATTCTGGCACATCCTACATGATCTCCTAAGCAGGCTTCATGAAGTGGAGTTACTTGGTCAATTGTTAGTGTGTCTACATTGTACCCCTAAAAAAGACATGAATGGCATATAAAGGTAATACAAAAGCTGTCTGGAGTAATTTTCTCACACTGCTGTTCAAATGATATAAATAGGCTTAAAACTCTACTTACAATAAAAAAAAAACTGAGCATAAAAAGAATCTGCAATCAATGTATATCAATGCAGACTACAAATTGTCATTTCTAGTTTTTTTAAATCAGAAAAAGGAAGTATAAAGAAGATGGAAACAGACTGCTGAGATGCACAGTGATAGAACAAAAGGCAACAAACACAAGTCAGAACATTGTAAATTCCAATTAGTTATATGCAAAAAAAATGCACTGTAGAGACAGTGAAACCCTGGAACAGGTGCAGAGAGGTTGCTGCATTTCCATTCCTGGTGATCTTTAAAACTCAACAAGCCTGAGTCTAGACTATCCTGTGATTCTATTATTCTCTGACATAAGGTTGGAAATATCTAAGCCATGAATTTTAGCAAGGAAAAACACTTCCTGTATTGATAAAATCATCAAGCCATTGAATTTTTCTGCAGTAGATGTTGTTTATTAGGAATTAATAGTTGCATCTATTGGCACTCACCAAACAGTGAGTATATATAGTATTTTTCAGTATTGTAGTAGGTAATATGAGAATACTGTAATACTAAAATCTATCAGTTTACCATCTCCCTTTGCTATTAAAAAATACATATTTTTTTAAATCACAGCTAGGCAAAAAGCTCAGTCTTTCAGTGATTCTTCCCCTCAAGAAGTATCTGACTGATTAGATCTATTTACCTGAGGACTTAAAGCAGAGGATTACAGAGGGAAAGACTGATATAAAAATTGGGGGCGGGGGGTGTAAGTTTTAAAACCTACAGATGAAGTATTTTAAATATTAACTTATATCTCATCATATAAAAACAACCTCTAAGCATGTATTGCTCTGAAAAATTAAAGTGAAAAAAGCAAAGCAATGCATACTAAAACTGGATTAATAATCTATGCCAATAATTTAAGTAACATTCACAATTAAAGGAATTTTAAGAACACAGCCTTCACCTGTGACAATAAAGTCTTTAGAGAAAGAAGACGTCCTTGACTGGCTGCCTCATGCAGAGGTGAGCGATCTGCCCAAGAACCTATGTAATAACAACATTTATTGAGTAAACCATATGAGTTAGAAGGATTTTGGAATGCATAGAGCAAAACAGAAAGTATAATGCACAGAATGAAGCCAACTGTCCTATGAAATTAATTTATGCTTTTTAAACTGTATTTTAAATGATCAGTTCCTAGTCAATAAATACTGCTCTATTATTAACTGTAAACATCTCTAATAAATTATTATGTGGTAGAGAGAACAGAATATTGATATATTTACTCTAGTAACCTGATTTAATAAATTAATGAATTGCTATATCTCCCACTTTTACTTTTGCACTATTTATTTATATAGAAATGTACAGACTTCAGCAAATTGATATTTGAACTTAAAACAGACATAAACCTTCCTGAAAAAATCCTTAAAAAGATGATGTACATGAAAATCAATACAGAAATCCTTGTTATGAGATTGGTCTGCAACTACTACACTAGAGCAAGGACAGAAATACTGTGAAAATCACACACAAAAAATTGCTATAGTAGAAATACAATATTAAGTTCTTATTCTAACAGGCTGTTAGGAATAAAACCAGTTAAATATGCTTAATATATAATGGTTTGGCATTTATTTTCATTTATTTATCACACCTGAATAAGAAAGGGAAAAAAAGAAACCAAACAAAACCTGGTCTTCACACACATTACCCTCCTTAACTACCAACAGAGAACCCAGAGTCATCCTGTGGCCCCTGGAAGCTGCTCTTTCCTCTTGGAAGGCTGGCCATGGACTGGTTGCTCCTGGCCAGACAGGATTGCAGGCATAGTGGATACCAATTTATTGTATGAATTTTGCAAATTAAGTTTTGAGAGATGGCAGATGAATCTCCAATGCGTAAACATAATAAATAGTGCACAATAATGGAAATTGAGATAAAACCTCCATTTTCCTAGAGGCGCTAGTGAATGAAACTAAAACTTCCTCAGAGGTAAGACTGTATCTTCTCACAGAATATAGAACTACATTGAGGAACTCAGCACTACTGGATGCTATTGAGGTCAAAAGCTTAGCAAAACAAAAGCACAGCTCAGTATTTTAATTATCAGAAGTCTTTATAAAGATGATCACAGACACTGAAAAAAACAGGAGACTAAAGCTTTGTAAACCTAATCTTAAAAATGCATGGAGATTTCTATTATGACAGAGTATCCCATATTTGTGAAGCTCCTTGCACTCCTTCATCTGTGGGAGTTGATGAACCATAGGCAAGATCCAGTTTCCAATATACTTTCAGAATTATTTGCACTAAGCATCTGCATGTACATGCACACATGTATACTTTTTACTTAAGGTTTATTAAATGTAATATTTTGCAATTCTTATTGCTAGTCAGAATAACAGCTAAAAAAACCCCATACACAAGGTGATTGGGATTTTAAGGGGAATTATATGACAAAAGCTGAGGCCAGAAATATGAAAGTAACCTGATTTTGAAAAACACCAGTATTTGCTCTGTCATCTAAATAAACTCGGATACATTTATCCTACTGTAGGCCAGAAGTATGCAATCACCATGAGAATTTTGACCAGTGCTTTCTGTAATAGTATCTGAACCAGCACTTAAGCTGTTCTAATTCAAATTAATTATATCCATTAAGTTCTTCTGCTGGCAGCTGCAAAGATTTTAAAGCTGTGGTTAGAGGTGCTGAAATTTTGTCTCCCTTTCTCTACAGATAAAAACTTCTCTGTCTTGACAGTTTAACCTACTCCTAAATTAAAAGGAGGGGAAAAAAAAAATAAAAGACAAAAAAAAAAAAAAAACAACTTACCTATTATATAGAAATACATCTAATACAATTTTATGTGTCATGAAGTTTTAATGCGCATTAAATGAACTCACACTTGGGATATTTTTGTAGCTGTATATAAGAATTCTGAATCAGAACAAAGACACTAGTAGGATCTGAAAGCAACATTTTTTCCACTTTTCTCTCCTTAACCTTCCCTAGAATCAAATGATGCCAGATCTTACTGTAAATTCTGTTTTACACCTAGGCCCACCTTATATTCATATCTTCATGTAAAGACATCCAGCAGCTAGCTGTTTCTGCTAAATCCATTAAATACAAGACGCTTGATCATCTCTACTAGAAATAACATCTATAAGCAAAATACTGCAGAAATATTTTGTGAAAACCAAGTCTAGAAAAAACCTTCCACATTCCCATTGAATTCTTGATAAACATAATAATTCATCATTAAATGATGAGGAGCAAGAATATGCTCAAAATAAATGTTTCATAAACATAAAATGTGTTTGTTTTTTTTTATTGTTGCCTTTTGCTAATCTACAAACTTGCTATGACTCTCACTTAGAAAGCATTAGCAAGAAAGTAAATGAGGGCAGCTTTTCATTCATTGTTGTCTGTAATGGCAGTATTAGCAAACATAGTCTATTTCAAAACTGTTAATGCATTAATTCCCTACTGATGTCTTCTCTGACAGATGCTGAATACAAAGTATCTCTGACTATATTTAGAAGCCACATTAGTTCCAACTTCTCTGGTGTATAGTTTACCAGGAAGGACAGCCTACATTGCTTTGTAAACACTAACAAGAAGGAATAAATATATTCACTGTATTAACAGGACAAGTTTAAAAAAAATTACAAAGTATCATACAATACCTAAATCTCCATCTCCCCATGGCACTTCCAGACAATTGTAATTATAAATCTTACTCATTTCTTTCAATCTGGAAAATAAAAAATAGAAATAATAAAAAAAACCCAAACTGTTTTTGCTAGTTGGGCCTGCAGCTATGTTTGGAAGAAGATGAGCAGCTCAATGTAATACGAACTTTCACCCTTCAGTAAATGCAGCTTTGAAGAGATGAGTGTTTACAAGTTGCCAGTTTATTTTCATATGCTGAAGGACATTGGCCGTTTTTGTTAATTTTTCGTATTATTTTTTCAACATAACAACTTTTCAAAATGCCAGGACCTGTGCATTTGCTTTCCAAGACAGATTAACTGGAATGTGAATGCAAGAGAAACTCACAGTGAAATCACGAGAACCTTGAGCTGATTAAGAACTGCACTAAAAACTCCTTTTTAACATTATGCAGTGAGGCACATAGGTTTGTATCCCCAAATATTAGCATTAGTACATGCATTTGTAAGGGAAGCACTGCCAAATGGTCATATCTTATTTTACTATTTACATAGTTACTTTACTATTTAGTATTTACATATGTTATTTTACTATTTACATACTTAGAAAAGAAATAAGCAAAGATGTTCTGAAAATCCTTAAAATGCTATTTAGGCCATACAGCGAACTATGTTTTTCTTGTAGCTGTTCACTATTGCCTCAATTATCTTCTAAACAATTCTTTGGTTGATACATTAGGGTTTTGATAACTATTCTCAGCAGTGAAAAAAACCCAAAATGGGTATTTGCTGTGCTGAATTTGGTCAGTTTCTAAGTTAATATTATCTTCTTCAAGTTTTCCTACAGACTTCACCCTATATCTACCTGCAACTACCTGTGAGTCATTCCTGCACTTATGATCATCATAGTATTAACAAACCAAGTAAAAACATTTTCGTATAAGTCATTAACTTCAGTCATCCCATCTTTTTGTTTCTATTTCTAAAAATGTCTGTACTCTTAAAAGCAAAACAAAACAGTGCAAAAGGTACATTGAAAAGTAAATCAAGGAGGACTGGAATTGAATGGACATCTTCTCACCAATGGCACTGGGAGAAGATTTATGCCAGGGCTCAGCACTTCAGAAAAATACTGCTCTAAGGGTAAACAGATGGTGTCCCAGTCCTCAGAAGAAGCAGGATCAATGGAGAAGAACTGAAAATACAGGCCTGCCACAGTTCACTACTGGGAGATGAGAAACATGGACTATTTGGAAATATTGTGGTTAAAATGTATTTCTGCAAAACTAACAAATGCTATCTATTAAGCTCATTGCTGTGACCTTTTATTCCTTAAGATGTATTCTGAGTAGTTCAGTTTGTGGCAACTGAAGCAAAAGATGGGTTCAAAAACTATAACAGAAAAACTGTAGCATTGTAGTCCCAAGGATCAACAGGCTCACTTCAGTTGTTTAAACTGTCTGACATTTTGTATATGTAATTAAGGTCTAACAGATTTTTATTGCAGCACTGTAAAACTACCCACTTGTCTAAAGCCCTTGCAGGACAAAGAAGTGTATAAACTACTTAACTGATATTTAATGTTAAAAAAATTATTGAAAATACTAAGCCAAGGACTTAAAAGTTAAGAAATGCATCTGTGGTGCTTAACTGTGATTAGATATGGCCAGCAAACCAGAAGCCACTTCTTTTTACAAAATGAAATTCTATCAGTCAACACTGAAGAACTCCAAAATAATCAGAATATAGCTTAGAGATTATTAAAATACATCTGAGAGAGAAGATGTAGCTCAAGTGGCATTTAAATATTCTATTTCAATATTTAAAATAATCTTTGTTTCATATAAAAGTATATAAATATATATGCACATAAATATATAAACATATGCATAGAAAAAATGAAACCTTGATTGGTTCAAACCAATATTCTTTCCAGTGTTTATCATTATACAGACTGAAAATTTCGGTATTTCACTCCAAATGCAAATGCCAACCATTTCCTACTCTTGAAAACTATACAAAACTATTTTTTTTCCCCACACAGTTCTCTTTATGATGCATCCACATTACGTGACCCCACATTAGTTTTGTCATTCCAGTATTGCATTCAATGAATGTGTTAGTATTCACATTTTATGTATCCCCACCTCTATTAAGACCTCACATTCTTTAAGACATGCTATCCACACTAGAAACTGAGTATAACATTGTTAATTTTATATTTCCTTTTTCATGGTATTCTCCCAATAAAAAAAAAAAAAAGAATACTTCAAAACCCTTGCTGAGTCTATCTTCATTGTGTCATTCATTCATACTATTTTAATCACTAAGGAGCTAAAAGACAAAGAGTTTTCATGCTTAGATTGTAAAACCAATATAATTTCTTTGTTTCTCCAGAGTACTTGTGCACTAGAGTGTACACTGAAAGCATAGTTTAATTATGGTTATGAGAGCTTAGAGCTTCTGAAATTTCAGCCTTAGATAATAATAACCATGATCAGCCAAGAAACTTTCAGGTTAGAGGGTTGGTCTTAAAACATGTAAATGCCACACCAAAGACAAGAACAGAATTTATTTTTAGGGACATTATCCTTCCATTCACTACTAGTCTTTGCAACATCAGGAAAACACAGGGTGTATTTTTTCTGACTGTAAACCTAATGCATTCTCAGAACATCATCCATCTTGCACATCAAGGGAAGCAAGGACTTTGTGGAAAAGTACAGCATGAGACTACATTGTCAAATATAGGTTTACAATGCATTAGAGGGTCAAACCAGTGCGGCACAGACAACCTTACTTTTAACAATTCCTAAGTCATGAGTTCTTCAGCATTGCAATTTAATATCCTTTTCACATAGAAACATGAGCCACTAAACTGTATTGAAAAACCTAAAAAAACGCAACTGCAATATCGAACCATACCTCACTGGGCTCCCAACAGGGGCGACATCATGCTACATGAAGGTAATGGTGACAGTGGTGGCAGCGGCAGTTGCTGCTGCTGACCTTGTGTTGGGTCTTGCACACACAAGATGATGTGTGTCAGGCCCCTTCTCCCATTCCATTAAAGCTCAGCACAACTCTCCTCTCCATTGCTCAGGGACAGTTTGCTTTTTCTTTTTTCTTCAAGGATCAACAATTAGTTGGGTATTTTTCTAGCTGAATGTAGCTCACAAACTCTGTGTGCCATACCTAGAGCACCAAGGTATAAAATCACATCAACCTTTACATTCAGTCATCTGTTAAGACCCACATAAGATTTGATTGGAGTATGTGGAGCAGATGGTAGCACTCTCAGGCTGCTACTATTTCCTTGGGCAAGTCACTAAAACAAAGCAAGGGTTTTCAGTGGCCTTCACAACTAGGTGATGGAGGTGACAAGGTGATGGAAAAGATAAAAGGACATTCTGAGCTGAGTTCAGACTCTGGAGAACTTCGGCCTGGAATAATTTTGCCTCTCAAATGCAGTCTCAGTCTTAATCCAAACTACAAGTAATCTTCCCCAAGCTGTTCTCAGAACTTTCCATATTTTCTTAGCCTGCCAGAGAGTGAATGCAACACATGACCTAAACTCTAGCCTTAAAGGCAGTACCCACATGGGCAGCAAAGCTGTGCCGAGTGTGCTGATTTTTCTACATCCACGAGATTTTTAGTAAAATAGCCTTGTCTGGACTCCCAAGCCAGTAGGCTGAAGGCCTTTTCCTAGCCTGACTCCACACTTTCACCCTTCTACCAAATCTTAGCATGACATATTCCATCCTCTGCATCACTTTTAGTCCATTTTCCAAGCTGCATGTTTAATTACATACTGCATTGCAATATTACTTTCTCTTCCTTTGCTCTGGAAGTATGCCTGAAGAACAAGTCAGGTTTGGATACTTCCAGGGATGGGAACAGAGAGGGAAGAAAAGAGCCTCCTTCAGATTTTATATTAGATAAACCTGTTATTCAAGTGAACTGCAACAAACAGATGTCAACACAAGTGTCTCAGTAATTCAAGATGTCTATTAATAAATATATAGTCCAAGTTCAGCAATCACAAAGAAGCTGTAAGTAGCTGGATTATGTTAAGATGGATTTTTCAGAAAAATTTACTTTCTATATTTTACTGTGATTTTAAAAATTTCCAAATCTTGTTTATTTTTTTAGAAAAATGGCGAAAGAGTCTAACTCTGAACCATATCAAGGAGTGGCTAGTGCTAGCACTGATAAACTTTTGTAAAATTTCTTTCCAGTTTAAGGGATAATGTCCTAGTTTTTTGGGAACTGCTAACATAACTAGCTGACATGTTCATAAATAAAATTACTTTAGATCAGGAAAACTTAGCCCAATGAGTGAACAATATGAGGCTAAAAGATACACTGCATTTTAAAACTGATTAATAAACATAACCTTACAGTGCCATTACATTGAAACAGTTACTTAGAAAGCTATAATTAGCTGTTGCTTAAATTCTTGAATATTGCTTAATTCTAAGTACTAGAAATTAGCAAAGGTATTTTAAGAATAACTCTGATTTCTGTAACATACAGCTACATTTTACATGGTAAACGAATAATTATTTTTATGCACAATATATCAAAACTCTTTTCTGTCTCCTCCTTTCCTTGACTACTTTCTTATCTCCAGTTTGTAATCTGTTATATTATCAAGAATTGCAAGTTGGATTTCCTTATTTTCTTTTTGTTTCACTCTAAGCCTTATTATAGTCAATATTGATTAGAATTATGATCAATCTTTCACAAAATTCCTATTAGACTCTTCCAGTTACTCAAAGCTCCCTTTTACATACTTGTATTATGAAAAAATTACGAAAATAGAGCACAGACAATAGCAGTCCAAATCACTTATTTTATAATAGTTTTTTCCTCACTGCTGAAGATGTCAGTGTCCAACAACTTAAATACCTCTTAAGTACTTCTCTGTGCAAACCTCTACAATTATATCTTTGTCTTTAGTGTCTTAGTACAGCACAATAATTCTGTCAACTGTAGTTCCTCCATTGGCTCCTATTTCATCTACCTATAAGCTTCTCCTTACATATAAAGTTATATGTAAAGTTCACTCTTCCCCCTCCTTTCATTACCCAGTTCCATGTTGTAAACAATTAGCCTTCAGTATCCAGTTACCTTGTGACACGACAGCAAAAGTCAGGGTAAGTCAAGCCTTAAACACTTGCATAAAACAAATAGGGCAGATAAACATGAAAAGGTATTTCAGATCAGCTGATAAGTGTGCAGAAACAACAAAAATAGCTTCAACAGCCCTCTGTTAACCCATGCAAGACAATGAAGTGCCACAAACATAAGCATGCATTTATCTTACAGCTAGAAAAAAAATCTAAGCATTTTAGAGCTAGAACATCGTAAATTGGGTCAGCTTAGCATATTTCAGTACACGGTTTCTGAAATGGCTGCTATACTAACCTTGGCTGGTCAGAATACCCCAGCTAGCTTTTCTTTTCGCAGGACACTCCCCTATGCTTTCTAGGCGTCTTTTGGGGAGATTCTGGCTCCTCTGAACAGCAGTGTTGTTTGACATTATTTGTTTCTCGAGGAAAGTCTGTCTGTCATTGGTGCAGGTAGTCTGGTCTGACGAACATCCAGAAATAGTTTTCTACTACTTTTTTTTTTTTCCTCCTTCGGCTTTTTCACAAAGGATCTTTCCGTACTTACTGTAGAATGGCTACAACGCTGAAATCCATTCAGCAACATTTACTAGCTTGGACCAGTGAGTACATAGTGGGGGAAGGGAAGGACTGCTCGAGCATTTTCTATTTTTAAAACAGAGAAAGAATCAGCTTAGCTACAGCATGAGTCTTAACTATTTACATTATTTAAATGGGAAAAAGGTGTTAATTTTTTAATCACTTAACAAAATCAGAAGAAGATTTTTAAAGCTTAAATATTCAATGCTTTGTTGCTTGAATAAAAAGCAACCTAAAACAGGAAAACTAAAACTGTTCTATCCCAATGGCAGTTCTATCAATAATAGAAACAATGTTACTGAATCCAGCTTCACTCACATGTAACTTGCAGTAAAGAGATGTTTTGGAATTCAGAAGAATCCATAAAACTATGAAGCACTTCTGGGTTTTTTGTGGTCTGTTTAGTTTTGTTTTCATTAAATGGGGAACAAAGATTTCCACAGATGTCAGCTAGAACCTGCATCTTGAATAATTAAAAGCATGGTCTGACAAGCAAAAAACCACATTTCACTGGTTATTTTTAAAATCGGATCCCATTGTAAAAGTAAGGCTTTAGTCTGGTCAGAAGAAGCACAAATCAATTTTTTTTTATTTTTTTTTTAAAGAATAACCACAAAAAGGAGGGCAACCAACCAAAAGCAATTTTTTGTTTGTTTGTTTGTTACTATGTATCACACTGATAGAAAATAACAAACATAAAATTCATCCCTAAGATTTCAAAATTATGCACAGGTACTTAATGCAATTTTCTATATCCCCTCTTGTTTTTCTTAAAGGTAATATCAGAGGCAAGATTATACTTAGTTAGGATAAGGGAAAGAAGAAGAAGCAGCAGCTGTAAATTTCACCTTGAAATTACAGCAGATGAGAACTGCCCTACTGAAATGGCAGTACACTCTGTACAGAACAGGAGCAGATGGGCTACTGCGAGTTTCGCAAGAGAGACCAAAACTGCCCTTTCCCAGACATCATGCTACTTTCAGAAAGTTGTTTTCAATACTTATCTAGATGAATGAAACAGAATAGCTCACAGACTGAAATAAACACTTCTATACATCCAGCAATCTGATTCAAGTAAGTCTTGCACAGAGCTTTTGCAAAAGGACTCATTATAAAAGGGCATATTACAAATATATAATTTTAATCCTAGAATTACTTGTTACATTGTAGTGTTTTATTCAAGGGAATAAATACTAGAAGATTAATTTACAAGAAAGCTTACTATGGACATGTATACATGTATCTGCGCTAGGCAGATGGCAGCGCTATTCTCCAGGTGAGAAATAACCCATGAAGATTTCTGTACTTGTCATGGCTCTGAGGCTCATCTCAGTTTTACACTTCCTCTTCATTTGGAATGAAATCCCAGGACTTTAAGGAGAAGGTGGTGAGGATTGGGATCAAGCAAAGCATCTGGTATCACACATCAGGGATTGACAGAGGGCTCAGAAGACAAAAGACCTACATGTTTTTGTAGGAGTTTTGTGGGTGAGAATGTCAGCTGAGAATGAAGCTGAATCCCTCTAGAGGAGTGGTACAAGCTTGGAAGTAGTTAATGAAACTTGCTTTCCACAGATATTCCAGCCCTCATTCTCCCTTAGTAGTCTCAGAGGTGTGACTTGCAGGAGCAAGGAAACCAGCAATTCACATAAAGCTCCCATGGCCTCAAAGAGGAAGACCCCCAGGGGCACCAGTCCAAAGAACTGCAGAGGAAGCAATGAGCTACCAAGCAAGTTAGCCTACCCCAAAAATCTGCCATCTTCAAGGCAAGGGTACTAGGAAAAGTGTCTCTATTCCATAGACAGTTGCCACTCATTACTATTAAGTTACTTTGAATACTTTGGAGGACATAAGAATGCAATCTATAAAAAGATGCACTATTTTTTTTTCATGCTTTGAAGAAGGCAAAGCTTATCCTACTCAGGACTGTAGAAAAAAACTTCTAACTAAATTCTGCTAGGCATAAACATTTAGTCTCCAGGCAAAAGCCATTAAAAAGTACTATTAAAAATGTACATAAATACGAGTTGTTTCAAGGGAAAGCTAGACCACATCAGAAATCAACTGGAAATGTACTAAAAATACTACTTGAGATGTTGATACATATAGGGAATGAACATACAGGTAAAAATGTGGATTAAGAACTGTCACTTCCACCTGCTCTTGAGATTTTTCTCTATAGAAGACACTCAAATCTGCCGGAAAACCTATAACAGGAATCTAAGTAGATATCCAAGTATGTAGAAAATACAGTTAGCCATTATTTTCCCTCCTTTGGCAAACAAGCAATTAGGGACCCTATTTAGATTATAATTATGCATGGAAGTAATGCAGATATCTGCATAAAAGCAGCCAGAAGACAGGGCAGACACTACCCTTCTCCTGAAGATTTTTAGTTGTTAGACCTTGTATCCTTGGATGCTGGGAATTAGAATGAAAGATTGAGAAAAGACTTGAAATTCTGATAAGGTAAAGTCCCCCACAGAAGTCCAATATGGAACAATGATACATTTACTACATTTCTTGGCTTGTGGATTTTCAATGCGTACCTGCCAGACCTCTTCATGCAGACAGGCAGTGGTAGTACAGAGTATTTGCTAACACATGGGCTAGAGTAAAACACATTTCACTAGTCATGCTGGTGAATCTAGCCAAATCAGTTACCAAGCAAGCCTGGGCTTCAGATATTTACAGAGAAGGAAGACACAAGGCCTGAGAACAGCAGTCAGCATGGGAGTGTTAAAGAGCCCCACAGATTGAATCTGCAGCCAACTACTGTGAAAGAAGAATCATAAAGAGAGAGATCATATCCGTTGTCAAAAAGACTCCAGACATACCAAAGAGTACATCCACTAGTGCAACAGATGCAGCATGCCACAGTGGATTTATAACCAACCAGCCAGTATTGCTGCAGTCATGAACAAAGGTCAGTGCTTAGGCACGTAATGCATTCCCCCAAAGCCATTACCATCTACCCCTGGCAGGAGTTCACTCACTGCTTGCCTGCATTGCAAATGTTTGAGAACATCCCCTACAAGAAAGGAGCTTGAATAGCAGAACCCTGGCCATAAGCAGGTCTATGGCTGAGGGAAGGAACATCACCTTCAGGGAGCTATGCTATTTTGGTCTTCTTCCCCTCTTGTCTTATGCCCCACTGCTGCAGAAAGGACCAGTGCAGATGGTACGTTTGAGCTTGTCCCAGTCCAGTACTGGAGGTTTCTAACGGCTTTTCTGTAACAACTGTTCCTTCAGGCCTTGCAGGCCAAATGCTCCAGGATTATCTTTCAGTCTTATTTCCATGCACCTTTAAAAACCCAGGTTTTGAGCTACATCAGAAATCATAATTTTTCATTTTGTACTTATTTGTGGTGCACAAGGTTATTAATCCAGAAAAATAAAGAAATTGATTGATGAAGAGGATTTCTAAGTGATTTAACTTACGACTGTGCACATCAAGCAAGCCAACAGGACCCAGGTTGATGACAAGTTAAGTTTGACCTTCAGAAAAGTAACATTTCAAGGATACAGAGATAAACAATACTGATCATAAAATACAGGGTGTGGCAACGCTATTCTCAAGAAGGTCCTGATAAGTATAGATACAGGTAGGAGTAAAAAAAAACAACCACTAAGGAATCCACATGGTAGGATGTCTCCATTTCTTTCAGGGAAGCAAGTATGCTAACAGGCTCCAGCAGACATATTCATTAGAAGTTTCTGTAGCCTCAGAGATTTTCCTCAAGATGAGGAAAAAGTCAGTACTTGACAACAGATGTGCTTGGTTTGTGTTGCTGCAAATAGCAACAACATGGCTCTGGCCATGCCAGTCTCGTTGCATCATCCCTTTATGTTTCAGAGGAGAAAGGTGCTGGTATCTTGCTAATATGTGGTGTCGCTTGATTCTAAGTAAGTGTCTTATTGAAATTTATTTTGACGTATGACTCTTCTTTGGTAGTTATTTGTCATACTAGGCAAAGCCTTCTAGCATATAAGTGGAGGTGATCAGCTCTATCAAAAAATCTCCCTTCTGAACTTTCAAAAAAAGAACATTAACACTATCTTAAGCATTTCTACACTTTTAGCTTACATGCTGCATATGAAAAACAAATGCTAAATGTGGTGCCTTAAACCAAGTGGTATGGTGAATAGGTATGCCATACAATATTCCTGTCATTACTAAATGAATCTCTATTGTATCCAGGAAGCTAGTAGAGGTCTTATATGGCTTTTATTAATAGAACTGTGATCTCTGTGGAATGCAAGTTGAGAAAATGCCTCGTGCCTATCTTCCCTACCTAACAACTGTTGTTGAGTGACAATATCAATTGCAACTTGTTAGAATAAAATAGGAAAACTTTGCTCTAATTATTCACCACAGTTCAAAATCTAATCAAGCTTTCCAAACAGTAAATCTCTAACAGTGAAACAGCATTACTTCCTATTTATGAGTTGTATCTAATGGACCAGTTTCTTGGGTTCACCCAAGCAGCATCCTGTGTAAAAGAAAAATAAGGCTTCACAGAGTTTACAAGTCTTACAATCATTAAAGAAGATGGGGCCTTCAGTCTTGAACTACCATAGTCTCATGGATGGCTTAATTTAGGGTAAGTAGGAATAACTAGAGTAAGGAGCATTCCTACCCTGCCTGGCCCAGGCAGACACAGCAGAGACAGGTAGCTCAGAACTTGCTATGTTCGTTCAAGAGTAGATTTATTTTTTTTTTTTAAATTTATTTTTAAGCTTAGAAGAAATCAGAAAATATTCATTTCTCCAGTTCTGCAAAAACAGTATAATATATTTTGAGAAGCTATACTCAAATACTGCCTTCAAATAACTTTCAAATATTAATTTAAAGTAGTATATTTATGTATATAGTGCAAATTTTTGCAAAGAGAGTTGAAATAATTAATAATTAAAAATAGGATATTAAAGAAAAAGCCTCCTGTTCATATCCAGCAACAGCTGTACAAAAGGCTGAGTTATTA